ATTTAAATTAATTATGCGAGGAAGAACTTTTGATCTTTTTCGTTTTGTTCATTTTGAAAGTTTGCGTTACATAGTTTATGGACGATCCTTTAGGCGTAATGCACAAGAAATTTTATTCAAATTTCTTATAAAGTTCTCCATACTTTGTATCAAAAAGTATTAACAATGTCATTTTTATGAGCTATGAAACTTTGAAACTCTGAAATTTTACTATGTCCTATCTCACCTCACGATTTGGATTGCATTCGACCTTTGTTCCGTTGCTCGGTAACTAAATGGTCAGAACCGACCCAGAGTCTTATAAAAAAAATTTCCAAGTTCTGCAATTGACTTATTTTTCTTGATAATTTTTCTCTGAATATTCTTAGTTGTTTATTTCCATTCCGTTCTTACCTTGTTATTTAAGACCTGCGTTGTTGTTTAACTAAGTAAGTTCCCAAATATGATTAACTCCAATTAGTTTTTAACAGTCAGTCTCAAACTAACCCAGAGCATTTCTTGTAGATAAGGAATATATGTCTTCTTACATATGTCTCTGTATTTCTTTATCGTAATTTTCTGAGTAGATGACATAGCACGAATAAAAGTAGACAACAAATGACAGATAATATTTGGTCATGTTTATTTGAAATGCAGTCATTAAACAGTGTTTTTTTCATTGTAAAGAAGACTTTTAGCTGCACTGCAAGTTGTAGTACTACCCCATTGACCTGATGAACCTGAAAAATCTCACTTGATTCCTGTTATTTAGCTAATTAACTCCTGTATTTTTACTTTTCTACTTCAAGGAAGTGGGCACTACTGGCTGTCTTAGACTCTGTTAATGCTTGGACTCCTGCAGCCATATGCACCACTTTTATGAAGTGGTAAAATCAACAGAGTAATGCATGGAGTACTTATACAAACCTTAAACTAGATCTAGCTATTGGACTTGCTGTTTACCCATAATGAACATCAAAATCCTTTGACTTTCTTTTAAAAGAACCATCTTCTTGAACTTGAGTCCAAAAATACCTGCTCCATGGTTTCAATTTCTCTATTTATAATAAATCCCTGTTCAAATGTGTATATATTTTCACATTGTTTCTTAGAAAAATTACAAAGATCACAGTAGGCAGCTCTAAGGTCCTGATATATATTTGAAGCTTTTCTTTCCAAACTGTTAGCAACCATGTTCACTTTGGTATTCAAATATTGTCCCTGGAAAATAATGTTGAAACTTTCCTCTTTGATTGTTTTTATACCTCCATTTAAAAAAACTTAATTAGTGTGCATTCTCATGGGATTCTTATCTTATCTGGATCATGAAAGGTCTACGTAAAAAATCTGAGTTTAGGCTGATTGAACATTTTATGTTCTCCTCTGCCATCATAACTAAATTTGATTTCAAGAACTGAATTTTTTACTTTAGCTGTGATATGGATATTTTCAAGCGCAAGAGTTTGGGATTGACTGTGGCAGACTCTGTAAAGGTAGAGTAAACTCTAATATATGGTTTAGGAATCACAGCAGATTGCAACAGCTATCACAATTGTTATTTGAGTAATTTTGACACAGCTAGAGAATGAACATTTAGATAATTAGAAATACCAAACCTTTTTCAAACTAATACTCTCAATTTTAGCAAGTTTACATTTTTTCAGAGTTTTTCTGTTTTTCGAATTTTTAAATTTTTTTGAGAGATGTTATCCCATTTTTTTTCTATTTTTTTGTGCATTATTTTCTGAACTGTAGTCATCATCTTGATTTAACTTATCTTTATTAAATGACAGCAAAACCTATTTAGAAAACGTTAACAATGTATTAAATTTTGTGATTTATATTCTAGAAATTCATTACATTCAAAATTAAGTTTTGTTCATAAATGCAGAAGTATCTGAATTAACTGAAAAATGTTCTGTAATTATGTTATTTTATTATTTTATTTATTCATATATTTAAAATTTGTGTTTACTCTACTTTTCCAAGCTTTATGAGAGCTTCTTTTTTAGTCTTGATTATTATTCATATTCTTTGTTTGTCTTGATTATTATTCATATTCTTTGTTTGTCTTGATACGTTTTGCAGCAAACTTCGACTTTTTTAGATTGTTGAACTACCTAAATATATTTGTTAAAATTAATTTAGAATGTTTATCGAGGTCATTAATATCTTCCAATCTTTTAAAAACCATAGTAAATGTTTGTACTGAATTAATATTGTTATCCAATATTATTTTGAAAAGTTCTTGTTTTGCGTGGAGAACCATTTTGAAGAGTGAAATGTTCAGAAATATTTTTTTAAACGTCTTTTGTGTTCAATGTTTGTTCTTATTCTGAAATACATAATTATATTTCAGAAATCTATAAGCCATTTGGTATCGATAGCGTGGATAAGCAGTTTTTAATTATTAATTATTGTTTATGTATTTATATGGTTTTTTATGTTATTTTTTGAGGGCTATGTTATCGCTAGAACTTTTAAATAAAAAGGTTTATAAAAATGTGCTTCCCTGAGCAGACGGCCACCTCCTTTTTCTCTCTTGCTACATCATTGTTTACAGAGTTGCCACAACTCCATAATATTATTCTGAGGCAATTATGACACGTCTCAAATAGCTTTATAAATTTGTCCACAAAACTGCCAAAACGAACCACTGTGCAATATTAGTGTTAATTAAAAAATACATAATTTTGTATTAAACACTTGTCAAATTGATGCGTCACTAACCCCATAAAAGAATGTTTTAATTGATATTTAATGTTAGTTTGAATAAATATTTCTTCTAATGAACATGTCTTCATCATTATGATAAACTTTCAGCATCTCGGTGTAGTTAAGGTAATTTTAAAATATTATAGCGTCTTTATGATATTTTGTTGACTACGATATATTTCCGTTAAATGATCAGGTCTGTGAATTATAAAAAGTCAAAAAAAAGTTAAAATGATTAAATTTGCGGTATCATAAAATATAAATGTTTGCAGCGAAAAAATCCAGACCGAGGATTCTTTTTTTTTGTAAAAATATTCTTCTTAAAATCACAATCGCTTGTCCAAATTTGAATAAGACTTAAAATAAATACATTTTTTAGGGAAAAGGAACATTATAGTTTAATAATATGATCTGTTCTGATCGTTTATTGGCAATTTTTTTTATTATAAGCTCTTTGTTGGTCGGAATTCTAGTAATTTTTGTGAAAATTAGTAGAAATATTGTATTTTGACAACTATATGTAGTTAATATACGTCAGAACCGATTAGAACTAGGATCTATAGAGGATTAAAGCACTTTTTCAAAAGATTTTAACTAAGTTCATGTTAACGCCGATGAGCGAAATTGATCTAAAAACACCAAAATGGTGTTCTTTAGACTCACTATTAGGGGTAGTAAACAAGTTTGAAAAATATATATAAAAAAGAAAAGTTCTTTATAATATTAAAAATAATTGGAGCAAAAAAAATTATAACATCTAAAGCTCTTGTCTGGACGCTAATAAAATCATGCTAATTTCAAATAAAAGAATTCGAATAACTTGTAAATAGCCTTAACTACACCGAGATGTAATGTTGACAATGATTTTTGGTGCACTCTGTGCCACTGTGCACTTCTGAATTTACAAGTTATTAAATAATAAGATCATTTAATTATTTTATTATTTAACTGTCGTTCAAATATTAATATAATTAACTATTCTGAAAGTTGCCATACTTTAAGGATTTGTAGCATGGTTTGGAGAATGGGAGGAGTTAAAGGTTTTGTAGTTACTACAAAAACTATGAAGCGTGAAATATATATCTATTTACATATTTAGATTTGTGGAATCCAAATATTTTTTTTAACAATTTTAGTGGGGTTATTAATAGATTGAAAAATTGCAAAAGTTTTGTAAAAATTTAAAAAAATTTAATAAACCATGTTTTTAAGTTTTTCCATGTTTTTCATGTTTTCCGTGTTTTCAAAAAAATTATAAATTAATTATATTTAGAAGCAATTCTACGGGTTTGTCATATTCCCTCCTCCGAAAGACGGCGATTTTCAAATTATAGTCGGTTTTTTGACGGGTACTTGGGTATTCGACACATTTGAGTCGGGTGATTTTTAGTTTACAGAATTTTTTTAATTTTATTTTAGAAAGCAGCTTTAAAAACTTGTGTCACAGGAGGAACGATAGGTTCCTTCCGTGACACAAGTTTCAATGGCTATAACAAAAAGGTTATTATTCCTCATGCAACATCTTTACCTGGAACTAAATAGGTCTTTCTTGGTAGCATGTTAGGTATTATTGCCCCATGAAAACGTTTTTTTTTTTTTAAAATTTTCAATTTAGTTTATAAAGGTCATTCATTTGAGAAAAAAACTTTTCAATCCTGCCCTAAAGCGCATTGTTGTGTCACGGTATTATCGTATATGTTTATGAATCACGGTATTGGTCACATATCGTTGCATGAGAATTATAGGGTTCTATCTGCCTTGTTTTATGTTGAAAGAATTTAACAATCAAAGTTTTAATTAACAATTAATAATAAAAATAAACATTAAAAAAATTAAATATTATACATAATTTTTAACATTTTTAACAGTTAACATAAACAACTTATAATTTATAATTATAACGAATAACAGCTGTAAAACATGTATTAAATAAATATTGAAAGTTAAGTTCTCACAACATAAAAAAAAGCAGATAGAACCCTATAATTCTAATGTGACGATATGTTTATGAATTTAAATGAGAGGCTCTCTTGTCAAACCATTATTCCGACGCTGTCCTTAAGGTCCGAAAATGTAAAAAAACGACTTCTTTATTTAAGAGAGCCTGCCTACCCCAAACCCTAAGTCGTTGTTTACACACTCCGCTGCAAGTTCTCTCTAAAAATCAGTCGGTGTATGTGCGCACCGCTGCGCAAGTCCCTATATACCCGTTTTTCCATATTTCCTAGAAATACGAGTTCGCGGACGCAAAAGAGCTCAACGTCGGAATAGGGGTTTGACAAGAGTGCGTTCCATTTAAATGTAAAACTGTATGAATAGATAATATTTTTTCGCCGCAAACTGTGTTAAAAAAATATTTATCAAAAAGCTTATGAAAAAGACCAATTTTAAAGAGTCATTCAAAATAACAAAAAGTTATGGGGATTAAACTTATCCTATATCTCGTCAGATATCTTTTTGAAAGCATGTTATATTAGCTATCGAGTTCACAAATGTATATCCATCAAACTAAAATACTTGGAAAAAGTACCTTTTTTTTTACTGAATGAAACAGTTTCTGGTAAAAATTTACATTATATATATTTCATATTCATAATTTTATTCTTTTTATGATAGAGTTTTAATCATAATAAGACAACTTGTTTACAAATTATATGTGCAAGTTAGTTTATTATATTTATTTTATTGTTATAAACACAAAAATAAACGCTAAATTCCAACTTAGTTGAATTAAAATTTTTTTACTACAAGTTACTAAAAAAAGCAATTTTAAAACAATTACGCTCCTTTTTCAATAGATTTATTCTACCAAATAAGTACATATATGCTAAAAATCACAAAAACTGCGAACCAAGATATATGGTCTTTATGAATATAGCATAATTTTTTAATAGTGGTGTTATGCTATATCATAAGTTTGTTAACAAGCATTTGGCTGCAATGTTTTTATAACAATTTTTGGGTGTGAGCTTTTTCAAGAAACAGATTATAAGAGTTTATTAATTCTTTTTTTAATATATATATAAAATATTCTATTTTAGATATTGAATTAAAACTTCATTGATAAATAAAAAGTATAATTTTATCTAGTGTTTTTATTTAAAATTTTTGTTGCTTGTTTTTTTGTTTTTGTTTTAATTTTAATTTAATAACACAATAATTTTTAATTGTTTGTAAAAGTTCTAAAAATTTGCATATATGTTTTTCAAGTCTTTTTAAAAAGTTTTGGCAACATAATTTAGATTTTTTTGATCTCATTTTAGTTAATGAATATGAGTTGAATAAAAAAAAGGTTTTATTGTGCATCAAAAATGATCAAAAAGTTATTACCACCACCACCGTCATCATCATTATCATGATCATCATGATCATCATGATCATGATCATCATCATCATTGTCATTATCATCATCATTGTCATCATCATCATCATCATCATCATCATCATCATCATCATCATCATCATCATCATCATTATCATCATTATCATCAGAGCCAATTCTACAGAGGATGTATGTGGGTATGGGGTGTTTAGGTGTCTTTAGAGTCATTCCATATGAAATCACCCAAAAAATAAAATTTGTCACTGAAATGTTTCAGAATTGCTTTATTTTTGCATTATTTGCAGTTTATATTAAATAAATGATAACTGCAAAAATTATAGCTAAAAATATTCATGGGTTGTTGAGATACATTCAGTTAAAATAATGCTTCTTCGTTTTTGTGGTTATCTGAAGAGACAATAAAACATCTTTGACATATAATTTTGTGATAATGGTTCTGAGGCTTTTCCTAAAATTTGGAATCCAAAGTGTTTTTTGCTTGAGGAAATCAAAAAAACTACTTTTAGGACTTGATAGTCTCAAGAAATACCTCATTTATCCAATGAATAATTTTTTCAAAATTATTGACTTAAAATGTATTGACTTTTAGAGCTAAAAATGAAGGCTGTTGCCCAAAATTGCTTGCAAAAATATTGATTGTATATCATTAATTTATCTTAAGTGTACTGAAAAAAATAAAATTATGCATTTTTTTTTCAAATATTTGATCAAATAAGCACTCAAAAATAATGTTTTTTCATATTTTTGGAAAACTTGAATTTTGTAGCAATAGAAATAAAATGTTTTTTAAAACAATTTTTTTTAAATAAAACTTCAATATAGTGTCATTTATTAACAAGTTTAGCACATATTTAGTCTTGGACATACAAATGGGGCAAAGAGAGGTGCAACTTCTCGTCAACCCACTCCCCTACTTCCTACTAGATTTGAAATAAAGAAAAAAGGAAAAACATATACTAAGTTACTAATAACTTGTAAATAAATTATAACTACATTATTTTAAATGTTTATATTTTTATTTATTTTGTTGTAATCAACTCCTTATATTTTTTAAATCTAAATCATACTGGTTGAGTGAATGACCTGATATTTTTGTGGGTGTAAAAATTATGCATATAACTTCAGAGTTAAGCACTCAGCACTCATCATTTCTCATTGGCTAAAAGAAATTTTGAACTGGTTCATGTGGTTTCATAAATCTGTGTTTGATATCAAGTTCATTAACATTTTCAGGAATCTCTATCCACCAAATTTCATTATAAATCCATATCATCAATATAATCCATTTTTTAAATACTTGATAAAATCTCTTAATTATTTTTGCTTTTTGAAATACTTCAGTATGTGTATTCACACTTGTTTTTTTTTTTATTAAACTTATAGGAATAAAATGATGATACATCCTTGTGCCAAGAACTGTTCTACCATCTAATTATCTTTTTTCTAAAGTTGCTTAAGTATGATCAATATCCTCCTTCAAAAATAATTTAAAACAAATGCCAGTTATTTTGACTTTACAAATAGAGTACATTAAGTTAACATCTAAAATCTGTCCATTAGTTACTTGTTTTAGACTTTCTTAACAAATTACTCTTTTAAAAGTCCCACCAATAAAATGCTTTACAAATGATACATTTCGTACAATTATCAAAAAAATACTTTACAAATGATACATCTCATAGATATTCTTTGATAAATTTAATATCTTTAATTTTTTTTTTTCAAACAACATTTAAATTTAAGTGATAATTGTTTTTATAACAATATTGTTTAATTTAAAGAAATTTTATAAATATTTTTATAGATAAAGATTCTAAATGATTTAACATCATCAAATTTAATTTAATTACAATCCAGTACTTTAAAATATGCTGTACTTATATATACTTTATTCAAATTATGCTTTATTTATACTTTATTCAAATTATGCTTTATTTATACTTTATTCAAATTATGCTTTATTTATACTTTATTTAAAATACGCTGTATATACTGTATGTAAATGTGACTTGATAGCTCAGTTGGTTGGTGGCTGGATAGCTCAGTTGGTTTGTGGCTGGATAGCTCAGTTGGTTAGAGCGTCAAATGAAAAGTTAAAACCCAGACTGTTGTATGATATGGATTCAAATCCTGTCACCGCCAACTCAGCGGTGACAGGATTAAATATGCTGTATTAGGCCTTGGCGGGAAGCGAAAGCTTTAGCTCTCGTTCTCGCCCACACTTCCCTGAAATGGTTTACAAGAGTTATTTACGGCTCTCACAAAAGTATATCTTTTCTGATAAAAGTATAATTATCATTTTAAATATAATAAAAAAACACACTGTCATTTAAATAAAATTAATTGCATAAAATACTGAAATGCTTTTCAAAAGTTGTTGCAAAAAAAATTAGAATTAAAAAAGAGCACCAATTTAAATGAGGAGCACCTTGTACACAGCTCCCCAAGTTCGTTTTAGGAGAGTTTTTCTCTGCTCACCTACTCATTTATTCTCGCTGAGGCCTGCTGTAAATACTGTATGTAAAGTATGCTGTATTTACTGTATGTAAAATATGCTATATATGCTGTTATACTTTTACATTTATTTGCATTATGCTTTTCCATTATTCAAAAATCTTATAACAAAGCCTGTGTTGCGTTAGTTTAAATAAGTCTTTTAAAAAAAAAAAGATTAAGAGAATTTTATGACGTTAAGTCAAAGCATTAAGCATTTTTTATTTAAAACAAAGCCTGATCGACCCCAGCCCCAGCTGTTTTATCAAACTCAACCACAGTCGAATTTCAACTCCAGTTGCTTACCATTTCTATTTAACTTAGTCATTATATATACACTATACTGTATATAATTTAATTAGCTAGATAGAAATTAACTAAAAACGTTAAATTACTTTGTGAGGAGGAAGCGGAACTGCTTCACAATAATGCTGATGATGTTTAGTGAGTGGGCTTTATAATTTTAATTAGTTTTTAAAACAGAAAAAAGTAACTTTAAGTATAACGAGTTTGTAAGAATGGCTGAAGCAAAAATAATTGAGGTTAGTAAACCAATTTCTAAGAACTTAAAAACTTTTCTTCCTTGGGGGAAAGAATCAGTTATCGGGTACACTGAGGAAAATGGGTTAGTGGTTAAAATTATTTGTATTAACTTTGATGATTATTAATAATTTCATTGAAAACGCAGTTATTATTAAAAGTATTTTTGTTTACAAAATCAATCGCACAAATTGCTTTAAAAGATTACATTTGAATAAAATAGACTTACATAAAATTACATAGATAAAAATACATTACATACATAAAAATACATTACATACATAAATTATACATCCCTTATATATATAAAATAAGAATATTTTTTTTTTATTATTATTATTACAAAATAATAAATATTTACAATTTTTATAAACTATTTCTGCATAATAAATAAATATATCCTCTTTACAATTGAAGAAATATTTCCGTTTTTATATTTTTTCATAATAATCGTTTATAATAATAAAAAGGGTTTTTCACATAAGTTTTAACATTTATTTTTTTGAATATATTTTATAATATTTTTCCATTAAAATAACTTTCTGACTTTATATATGTATATATTTTTTGTTTTATAAATTTTTTATTTTTTTGTGTTTTTTTGATTTTATGTTTTTTTGTATTTTTAGATTTTATATTTTTTTGTGTTTTTTTGTTTTTTTATTTTAATGCCTTTGTCCGAAGAGAAAAGGAGAATAAGAAAAAGGTTTTAGAAGAAGTTGATTAAGTTTAATTAATTATTTTAAGTGAAGAAAAAAATTTATTCAGTAAAATAATAATAAGGTACAGGACTTTAACACAAATACCACATTACTAAAAGCTACAAAGAAACATGCAAATAATATTTTATATAAGGGCAGGCAGTGGTTGTTTAATCTAAAATAACAATATTTTTGTAGTAATTAAGGAAATTATATTTGTAGTAAACAGGAAACACTTAACTAAACATTTAGTTCTTGTTTTGAGCGGGTATATTTGTTCAGCTCATATGTTTAGTTTCAGGTTCCCATTTTCTATTTGGCAAAAAACGTTATTAATACAAAACGTGTTACAGAAAATGTCCTTAATGTTTCTATGGACATGGTAATTATATTTTAAAGTAATAATATTTCTGATATTTCTGATAATTATCCTGATCACTTCCATTGGGTCAATTTTTGAATTGTTAAACAAATGGTGGCATC